CCCCCCTTTGGGAATGGCCTAAAGACACTACAGTCAGAAGCACTGCCCCGGGGGTGTGAAATTCTCTGGATTATACCTGTGCAGCTACAACGACAATGGCCAGCTTCCAAGTAAGTGCTGTTGCGGTTAAACTCCCGACGTTTTGGACATCAGGCGACTAACTACACACAAGGCAAGAAACCAGGTAAGGAGTGTACCCCTCCTATACCAATAACTTATAATATAATTCTCAAACCCTAACGCCTACGATAAAACCATCTAACCCCTGTTCACTACACCCATGGACTCTGAACATCTCTTACTAACATTAGATCTAGATCTAGACCTAGTCCTTAATGGTAGCCAACTGTTCACGCAGTACATTTTTAAAATTATGGCTCTGAAATTGGAACGATGCAGAAGATTACCATTGCCTCTTCGCATGGACGACGCGCAAATTCGTGAAGCATTCCATTTTTTAAATTTTTTTTTGGCCGAAGGGCCAGAATAAAGAATTCAGATGTCCACTGGATGGGAGAAGTTAAGAAGTCCCACAATGCGAAGGGTATAGGGACAATGATCGTACATAACAAGATGGTTCACTTCTCTCTTTGAGCCAATTAAAAAAGTTTCCTCAAAATTCGGTGGCGCCCTCTTCGCAAATGCGCTCCCTTTGCGAACAGAGTTACTCTACTTGTGTGGAAAAAAACCCAAAAGGAAACCAACAAGTTTTTGAAAATGGTGAAATGGTATGGGTTTAACGCCCCTATCAACACTATTAAGTTATTTAAGGGGCGGGACCTCCTAGTTTAACGTCCGTCTCCGATAGGACCGAGCCAAGTGGGAAATTCGTATAAAGTGCCTTTCCCAAGGACACAACGTCGGACCGAGCTGAGGCTCGAACCCCCGAACCCGCAATCTCATTCATGATTACGAGTCCGGTAGCCTAACCACAAGGCTACCGACGCCACCGAGCAAGTTTTTGAATAAATAAGAATTCAGATTTCGGAAGAACGCTTTTTTTTAATGGTTACGCTGACAAAAAACGTCTTCCGCGTGCGACTGTTTTCTTCGTTTAATTTGACTTTAGAATGAGAGACGAGAGGTCATTAAAATTTTTTTAAGACACCCCTTAAACTCCGCACTGAACGAACCTGAACAGCTGATGAACAGTAGTCGATCTGCGCACGCAAGGGGGTGCTATTCCTATTCTTCTTCTGAAGACACGAAAGAGAGCTTCAAAACAAAGACTGTAGCTTCATCTGAAGCAATGCGCGGACTTCCGCGGACACTTTTTAAGCTGAGTGAACCATCTTGTTATGTACTATGATAGGTTGGGAATGTAAGGCCCCTCAGGACAATCTGAGTGGAGCAAGTATAGGCACCAAATGAAGAAGTAAACTATCTCAAAGAGTAATCCTCAATATTTGATCATCATCATCATCATCATCATCATCGTCATCGTCATCGTCATCGTCATCCTCCTCCTCCTCCTCCTCCTCCTCCTCCTCCTCTCTCTCTCTCTCTC